TTTACATTGAAGCAATCAGAGTCTGAAATTTTCTGAATATTAGTTGCCTCAGATTCATAAAATTTTAAGCAGAGATATGGTACTACCTGGTGACGGCAGAGGAGCTGGTGGCATTTCTGTCAGTGGTGGCGGAGGAGATGGTGACCGCTCTGGCAGTGGTGGCGGAGGAGATGATGGCTGTTCTGGCGGAGGCGGTTCACCAGTTGCTTTACCGTAGAAAAGATCAATCTCAAACCTAATATTGCAGCTTGGCATAATTACCCTGCCTCCTTGCTTTCCATTACAACATTCTGGAATTTTTTTAATAGCATCAGACAAGCAGGAGTTGCACTGAAGCTGGGACAAATCAGGAGTGCACTGCACAAGTGCGTAAATCGTGTCGGTAGGTGGAACCGGTGCCGGTGCTGTTCCCGTTGCGAATTTGAGAAGAGAATCACCCAATGCCGCTTTGTTGCTAAGGTTATGCAGCAGAGTACCGAGGGCATTATTGAAAGCACCCACATTCGTGACATTTTTCATATTCCACATATACAAAACAGGACTACTTTCATTGAAGCCAAAGATAAAGCGATTTGAGTAGCGCAGTACGCACACGTCATCCCATATGATTGCTTCCTTCTGGTTGGAGCAGTTTCTTCGGAGATTAGTGGCACTAAAGGTGATACAACCAAGGCAAGCATAACGGTCGATATCTCCTCTACAAAGAGCAATCCCATAAACTTGGTCCGGTTCTTGGCCCTCCGTAAGGTTGTAGAACCCATAACCGTTTAGTGACTTGGCTGGATTGGAGAAGAGAAGATCAAGATTTTTTTGGTAGCTGCTGTTAGCGGTGAAGTTACCTTGTTCTGTTGAACATAAGTGATACTGTTCAGTACTTTGCTGGGGCTGGGCAGTAGTAAAGAGGTGGTTAAGAAATAGAAAAACGGAGAAGATCTTCTCTGAATAACCCATTGCGTTTCATCCCGCTTACACTATCTGTTATCCTTGAGTTTTATGGATTTACAAGGCTATGAAAAGTTTTTTTTTTTCTTTATTTAATCCCCTCATCAGTTACATCACCATCAACCTCAACATCAAAGGATTAGGCGGTCAATGGATGGGTACAGGTGGCTGTATTATTTTGGAGTGGTAAACATAGCAACGATGTCCAAGTCAAATATAAACTACTTGAAATGGTTGTTAGAGTATTTCAATGCTGATATGGTGACTTAGAAAGTGTTGATATTCTTACCCAGAAGTCCACTAGCAGCAGAGAGAAAGTGCAAGGAATCAGAAAGGTTAGGGATAAAAGAAGAGACTTAAGTATCTCAGTCAAAGTCTCAGCCCTTTTAACTCTGGTTCAGTATGCAGATGGAATGACTAATGAACCTAGACTAGAAGAAAAACAGGGTGTGAATATTAGGACACGTGCACTGAACAATTTTTTGTGGTTTAAAAGTTGGGAGCGGGTGGCTGTATTATTTTGACAAAAGATTAACAACAAGGTCGTTAGTCAAACTGAATAAAAGAAGGCATAGAAACTTCCTGAAATCTCGCAATCCCATGTGCGCAAGTGGTGGTCGAGCTGATTATTGGATAATAGCTGAAATACACCTAATTTCAAGATTCGAGTACCTTATAAAGTAACAAATAGTTAATACTAATCTAATCATTTTTTCCTATAAAAAAAAACAAAAAAAAAAAAACTTCTTGAGTCAACCAAAGGGAGGAAATCAAGAGTCAATACCGTATCAATATATATATATACCGATTTTATTATTAAAATGATACGTATCAAATATCAAAATTTTTTACATATTATTTCAAATTTATCGTTATAAATATATATTTTTATAAATTAAATATTAAATTTTAAAATAAAAGAAAAAATACTAATATTTAAAATTATTATATTTTTATAAATTAAAAATAAATTTAAAATGATCATTTTTAATCTCTCAACTTTTAATATATGCATATTTTTCGTCCATCCATTTTAAATTAAGAGATTAAAAAAGTATGTATTTAAATAAATTTAACAGAATAATTGATAAAAAGACTAAAAAAATATGAAGAATATACTAAAAAAGTACATAAAAATGCTAAAAGATGAAAATCATGTAAAATATTAAAATTGAGGATAAAAATAAAATTTACCCTTCTTAAATTTGAATTGAATTGTACCCGACAATAATTGTACCAAAAATGAAAGAATATCAAGAACAACTGCATGCGAGAACAGAGGAGAGATTTGCCCGATTTGAAATTGTAAACTAAGAAGCTGCCCCCGTTTTGGCTAGGGAATCTTTTTTTTTTTTTTAATTCTCTCATAATATACCAATTAAATTTTGATGTATTGGTTGAAACACAAAATTTTGATCGGTACATCAAAATTTAATCAAAATTATCAAATTTTGACAAAAATAAAATTATAACTTATTATATTTTGATGCACCAAAAAATCGGTACATAACAGCCGTATTGACCGGTACAAATCGGTACAAACTTCCTTGGAGGAAATACCTTGTCTATTCTTTTGAAACAGTCTCTGCTCTGAGCTTAAATTTCTCAGAAGCACCAGAACATGAAATACAACATTGATTACCAATTGCTTTTGAAAAGAGATATGGGCAATTTCCCGAGAAAAATTTAACATAGTTTAATTTTGAGTTCATAGAATAAGCCGCAGTTTTTTTTTTTTTTTTGGTTCCGCCCAAAAAAATAACTGTACTAGTCTAAAATAAATATCTTTGATACAAGAAAGAAGAAGAAGAAGATAGGCTAAACCGAGCCGCAGGAAACAACAAACAAAATGATACAAAACCAAAAATAGAAAATAGGGCTAAATATATCTTAATTTTATTGCTCTATTTTCCATTTTTTTAAACAAAATGAAAGCGATGTCAGTACCTCACCCTACATTGTGAATGACATAGTTAACTTGTTTTTAAAGATGTTTTTTAATAAAAGGTAAAGTATATTTTAGTTTAGCTAAATTAATTTAATGGTTAATCTATATTCAATATTGATTGAACACCAAACCACCAAAGACCTTGGCAGTAGGAAGAAAATATTGGAGGCACTTGTGGCAGGTTGGAATAAGAAGGCTATTTAGCAATTTTCTGTAAGTACACCAATTAATTGAACACTATGAACATTGTTTGGTACGTGCAACGATAATGGGAAGACGCCATGATCCATAAAATATTTTTTAAAGTTACTCTTTGGTAATTTTTTTAAATTTACATTTAATGTGTTCTTAAATTAATTTTTACATACCTAAAATTAATTTTTTTAAAATAATTTTAAAAGTGCATCTTACACATCAACTTGATGTATTTAAAAAAATAATAATTCTTTTAAATACAAATCTCAAAACTTAAATATTAAATTTAATTTATAAGACAATAATTACCTGCTATTAAATGTAACCTTAGGGTTATTCCTTTGTATTGTTGTTGAGTTTGATTCTCAGCAAAAACCCATACGTTTCCACAAAATTGAAAATGAAAAAGGATAATTTATTCTGGTAATTTCGTGAATTACCAGAATATCCTTTGACTGGGATGCCACATTAGAGATGTGGGAGGACGGCGAAGGCAATTGAGCAAGGCACAGACCATGTCTTGAATTTGAAGGATTTAGTGCATTTCATTTTTTATTTTGTTGATAATTTTTCCCTTTTAAACATGATTGTTTTATGGATATTAGTTGATATATTCTATAATTTAATGCATTATATAATATATTTATTAAAAATTATTATTTTTTAATATTAAATTATAAAAAACAAACTAAAAGATATAATTATGTATATAAAATATAAAAATTAATTAAATTGATTATATTTATATTATATTTTAATTACTAATTATAACAAATGTTGAAAGGTGTATCTAATAAAAGGTGTACAATCATTTTCTTTGGTTTGTTCATATGATGAATTTGGGATGAAGAGTACGTAGCTGGTGCAGAATTTGTGATATAAAAACTTCCAATCCAACAAATTAGTATGAAATTAATCATTTAAAAACTGTTCTTATCAAATGGAGCTAAACTATCGTTTTAACTGTTAACCATTGTTTCAACTTTCAAACTACAATTTAGCAACCAATTGCATTTTTTTTCCCTAAGTTTTGATCTGAAAAAAAAAAATCAATTACTAAATAACAGAAAATATACAAAGTAGAACATAATGTTTCTGGTACTGGGGAGTGGGGACTATTAAGTTATAAAGATCGGAACTGATAGGAACAGGTAAAAGTATGCGAGCGTACGAAGGGTCCAAGACGGAATTTGATTTCCGGGGAGGCAAGCCAGTTGTGGTAAGTTAACGATCTCATCCTTCTATTTTGGAATAGCAACGGTTAAAAGTGAGCAGTTGGATTTCTTCTACGTTATTGCCAAAAGGTACTTACTATCGACAATTCAACATTAATTGACTAACTATCAGTGGCAAGCTATAGCTAAAAGGATGATAGTTAATTGGAAAGTGACATACATGGACCGTCTATGTCTGGTAAGTTTTCCCGCAAGTGTACTTAAATAGAGCAAGGCATTTTGGTCCCTGAAAGCAAGAAACTACTTTCTCTCTCTCTAGAAGTCTCCTCCTTCTGACTACGTCTTCCCCAAGCTTGGCTTTTTGGTGCTCGAAAGCCTTTGGCTTCCTGAGCTTTTGGGTGTTGGGAATCCCTTCGGCTTCTCATGCACGGTGGAGCCGACTTGTCGTGCTCTGGTGTCCGATGACCACCTTGAATGGTCTATTAGTTTTCTTTTAGACCCCTTCGGTGGTCCTTTTCATTTTTTTCTTTACTGTTTTTTTTTTCTTTGTTTGTTTCCTCAGATTTTGTGGCCAATAAGCCAACTATGCAGAAATTAGGGATGACCATTGATCTTTTTGCCCTATCATCTTGGAGACCGAGCTCATCTTCAAGAGTAGATTAAAGGATGCCTAGTTTCTGGAATGATCGACAAAAAAAATTTGTAAATATCGAGTTCCTTAAAAGTTGTTCGTGTGAATTTTATTGTCGTTCTTTATATTTGTTATTTGGTAAATTTGATCTACTCTGATTGCTATCTTTAATTGGATTTTCTTTAGTTTATCATGTGTTTTTATCATTGAGATGAAAATTTTTCATTTAGATGCCATATGGCTGTATTTTAATTAAACAAGTTTTGCTGAGTTAAAAAAAAAAAAAATAGAGCAAGGCATTTTGTTTGTTAAAATGTCTCTTTAGCAATTGGTTCGTTGTAATTAGGCATTGACTGGGGACTTCTTTTACATACTCTCTGTCCCAAGGACATCATCTTTGGAGACAGAACATTTGGAATACGTGAGGAATATATTTTTGGCGGAAAGATGAAACGACGGCGTTCGGGGCATTGTGTTGCAGAAAAGCGTATATGTTGGGAACTCTTATAAGGGTGTACAGACAACTTCCCCGCTAAACATAAGCCCCGTTTGTGGTGGGATTGGTGGGAGTTATACAGGGGAGGGGCAGATTAATATTACCTGCCCGTGCCCCCACTTTTGTTGCCAAGTGGACGGTGTAGATCAGGAGGGATAAAGATCTGACGGAAGTAGCGCAGCGACTGTTCATTACATTGATTGGGGACTTCTTTAATTTATTAGTTCTATCTTAAAATAATTATTATTTTTTATTTTAAAATAATTTTAAAATAATTTTTATTTTAATTTTATTATTATTTATTTACTTTAATTGATCATCTAATAATAATTTTTTTTTGTCTTTTATTTTTTAGTTAAATATCAATTTAGTCCTTTAACTTTAAGTTCTTGTATAATTTTTATCTCTTAACTTTTTTATGTACTTTTTTAATATCTCAACAATAAAAAATATATTTTTTTAATCATTTCATTAGTTAATTCATTAAATCTATTTATATAAATACATTTTTAGTCTCTAAAATTTTAAATTTAAGGACTAAAATTGTATATTCAAATAAATTTAATAGATTAATTGATAGAAGAACTAAAAAAGTATATTTTTTTATAATTGAGGAACTAAAAAAAATGAAAAAAAGTTAAAAAATGAAAATTATACAAAATCTTAAAATTAAAATATTAAAATTGACATTTAACTTTTTTTAAATAGTATGAATAAATACAAATATTATCAAAAATGGCGTAATAGGGGTGGGATCTTCCACAAGTCAGCCATTCATGTACTTATTACTTATATGAGTCTTTTGTAATTTAAATTATATTAAATTATAAAATATAATTTATTAAATAAAAAATACCTTTAATATCAAAAAAATTATTTTTATTTAATAATTAATATTATGTAATCTAATATAATTTTAATTTTATAATATTTTTTATTTATATTATTTTTTGAAAGAATAAAGATAAAAGAAAAAATTTTAATAGTATAATAAATAATTAAAGTTAAAAAATAACAATAAAGATAAAGTCAATATTTTTAAAATCAAATTAGTGGTCAATTTGTTCTCACAATTGATTTTGGTTCAATTAATGGGACCAATTAGACCATCGGCCTAGCTAATCCTTGCATGTTACATTTTAATTTTAATTTTTTTTAATAAACAAATTAGGTGTGATATGATCGTAAATAAAAAATGAGCAGTGCTAAAGGCATTCGCCTTTTACACTCTCCGGTCAACACTTCTCCTTTCATTGGGTCACATAAGCTGGTTTCAACTTTGAGGTGCAACCTCTTACCGACCCCAATAACGTGGCCCAATAAGAGTGAAAGTGTTGGCCGGAGAGTGCAGAAGGCGAGTGCCCCTAGCACGCCTCAGAAAAAATACTGTACGTATTTCACTTTCATTAAAAAATAATTAAGGGTGCATTTAGGCGAAGCTTGTCCAAAAAAAAAAGAATTACTTATTAAATTGAAAGACGGTCGCTACATTTAGGCGTGCCAATTCAATGTAAATGTTTGTTTGTCTAGGTCAAGGTCAAAGTCGATGCTATATTTTATGTCTTCCGTAGAGACCCAACTTCCTTTACTTTCTCCATTTTACAATAATTGTGTTTCTAATTTTTTTTGGCATTTTCCTTCATCGGAGAAGAACCTTTCACTTTCATGACTCGTCTTTGTTCTCCTCTTTGTAGAAGGGTAAAAGTCCAGCCCGCCATATCAAGTAAACCTGTCCCGTCCGTATCAGTGAAGCTGGAATTTCTCCACTCCTTTCTTCTCTCGTCTTTTCCATTTAGTATGTTGCTCATGTTTTTTGAAAAGCCGACCGCTCACAATTTGAATATTTTTAAAAATGTTTTATAGGGTAAGTTATATATTAAAAATATAATTTTATATATAAATTTAATAAAAATATTTTTAATAAAATAACATAAAAATATTATTTTATTAAAAATATTTTAATAAATTTATAAAATATATTATAATTTTAATATATAATCGAATTGAATTACATGATTCTTTGACTTTTGATCTTTGATCTTATCTTTCCCATTAGTAGGTTGCTTTTGTAACCTCAACTAGTTAAGTCTCGGCCCTTTTAGGCCTGTTCAATATAGTGGTTTGGGATAATCATTGATGGTTTTGTCTAAATTGTTAAAAAATAAATATTTGATAAATTTATTTATTTTAAAATCACTATAAATTAAGTATTTGATAAAATTTTATATTCAACAGTTTGTGACTAATGAATAGTAGTTATGGTTTAAACTGTTAGTGAATTAAAAAAATTATCTTAAAGTAGATTTTTGTACTAAACAGTTAATGGATTGAAAATTTTTAATTTTATTGATAAATTTATTCATTTTTAATTTTAAATTTTTGGTTACAATATTTCATTAATATTTATTTAATTAGTTGTAACTTCATTTCTTTCTGTTTAATAACATTAAGTAATTATTTTATTTTTATATTAATTTATCATAAAAAAACTATATTAGTTTAATAAACAAAATTTGCTAATTAGATGAAAAATTAAAAATTTATTTTTTCTTTATTTAAAAATAATATAATTTTTTCATTATTAAAAATAAAAATGAGTGTTTTATTATACTATTGTAATTTATTTTATTTTATTTTTTTTTATCATTTTTTATAAAATTAATAATTTTAATAATAAAAAATATAAAAAGAAAAATATATTTTTAAATTTATCTTTATCAATCATTTAACTTTAAATAACAACCGTTAATCATTATATAATCAAATAGTTATATTAATTGAAATTATATAATCAAATTGAAATCCACTAACCTATTATCCGTTATCCATTTTTTGCCATGCACCACCTACTATACGTTAGTTGCCACTCGTTACTTACTACTATTATCTGTTATTTGTTATTTACTATCTACTTCTCATTATCCTTTGAATTTTAACTATACTAGATAAGCTCTTACTCTGGTTCAGTATACAAATAGAATGACTAATGAACTTGGACAAGAAGAAAAACAGAGCAAGGGTGTTTGGAAAACTTAAAACTTCTCTCACAAATTTTAAATTTAAAATTTTGTTAGAGGATAATTCAAAAATTAGGTTTTAAAAGTGATTTTAAGCATAAAATACAAAATATGAGAGAGAGAAAATATGAGAGAGAGAAACCACCCCTTGAAAACCCGCCCCTGGCCAGTTGATTTCCGTCCGCCGGCAACGGGGTACCAGAACCTTGAGAGACATCCGGTGAGGGAGAGAACCTTTAATCACAACCAACCTAACCAGAGTAGACCGAGAGATATTCTACGGGAACCTAAAAGGACAGTAGGAGAACCACATAGAGGACAGCGAGGGGCATCATTTGGATATGGCAAAGGTGTTCTTGAACAAGCAACGTCCTTCTTCTTCACCAATTTTCCAGATGACTGGAGGATGGATGAAATGTGGACGGCTTTCATCAGATGTGGAAGGGCAATTCAAGTGTATGTAGCAAGGAAAAAGGACAAAAGGGGACGCAGATTTGGCTTTGTTCGGTTCTTGAACGTCAATAATCCTAAAGAGCTGGAAGCCAAACTCAAGCAAATTCATTTCGACAATTACCACCTGGAAGCGAATATAGCAATATTTTCCAAGGATGAGTCCAAACCAAACAAGGGGGAGAAACCTCGAACAATGAGATGGGATGCGAGAAGAACTTCTAGAACATACGCAGACGTTCTAAAAGGAGTACATCCCAGTAGGAGGACCATTCATACCCCCAAGCCACGTAAGGAATGGCGAATAAGGAGTGTGAAGAGGACAGAGGGTGAGGAATGGCATGGTCTTGAGTTTCAGGTTGAGAAGGATGATCTGTCTTGGTTAGAAGGGTGCTTTGTCGGCAGAACGAAAGGCCCCGAGATCATAGGCACACTTCAGGAGAGATTCCTAATGGAAGGATATTTTTCAGCCAAAGTAACTCCAATGGGTGGCAACTTGGTGCTGATATCGGGTGAGGACTCGGAGGAATTAAAACACCTTGTTGAGGAAGGACGGGACTGGCTTTCTCAATGGTTTACTGATGTTCGACCTTGGTCCCCAACGGAGGTCGCCACTGAAAGATTCACTTGGCTAAGATGTCAGGGAGTTCCTCTGCAGATTTGGAAAAGTTGTTTTTTTCAATCTATTGCCTGTCTGTTTGGAAAATTCGTCTCCATTGATGGTAGCACAATAAAAAAGTCCAGGTTGGATGTGGCTAAGATTCTGATCTTGACACCGATTCAGGAGAACATTCATAGGAAAATCAGTGTCAAAGTTGGAAATGATATTTTTCAAATCAGAATCAGTGAGGAAGTAGGTATTGATAACATTTTCTGTCTGAGATCAGACTTTGCGCTATGTAAAGAGGAGAGCTCGAATGAGGATGATTGGACAGAGTCTGCGTTTGATGACACAGAAGATGAAAATGTAGCTTGGGATGGGTTGTTCTTGCAGGACATTGAGGATGACGAAGATGACAATCCAAAGATTGAAGAACATTTTCCAGCGACCTCTGCAATGGAGGAGGCACAGCCGATGATGGTTTCCGGCAAGGAAGCCGAAAGGTGGACGGAATCCGTTGAGAGGGTGTCAGACTCAATTAATGCAGTTGAACAAAATTTGAATAATGCGGCGCCAATTAAGACCATTGCAGAGAACGTTGGCAACAATCCCCCAGAACGGGATTCGCGTCTGTCAGAAGCAAGGTTGGAGAATGGGACGCTTATGAAGGAAGCTTGTTTTCAAAAAACAGAGGCATCTAACACTACTTGTGGATCGGAGGAGCTGCAGTACCCACCAGGCTTTGGGCCACCAACAGGTTTGGCCCAAAATAAGGTCGCTGGGCCTAATGAGGAAAAAGGAAATAAAAATCGGAGATTGTATACCCAAACGATGTTATCCAAACAGATTAGCAGAGGCTCAAAATCGGAGGGTGAGACAAATCTTTTGAGGGTAGAAATGGCCAACACAAAAAGACCAGCAAATGGGGGAAATCCCGAAGATGGTGAAAGCAGCACTCAACCTTTTTGGGAGGGTCTAGCAAGTGAGGATGAAATCCTCCAATTGAGGGCTGAAAGACTAGCTCAGAAAGGGAAGAAGAAAAGGAAGCAAGTGAAGAGGAAAAAATCCAGAACAGATGGCCTGGACATGCAGCGGATTCGGGAGGTGAGTTTAGTCCCGACTGTGGAAACAAGCAAAAAGAGAAGCTGTTTGGAGGAGGCCGAGGAACTATGGGTAATTGGACAACAATTGGGCTTGATCGATGAATCAAATTCAGAGGAAATTATAAGAAGGTTGGAGGAAATGGAAAGAAGGGATAGAGCTGCTCTGGCCAAACAAAAGATGACCGGAGCTATTGCCGAGGGGGATCCTATTTTCCATCCATGAAGATCATTTCAATCAATGTTCGTGGATTGGGAGGAACTGATAAAAGGAGGGGGTTGAGAGAACTAATCAAGAAAGAAAAGGCAGATATGGTGTTCATTCAAGAGTCAAAACTTGAGGTATGTGATCTTAAATTTTGTAAATCAATTTGGGGCTCGGATTATTGTGATTGGGTGATGAAACCAGCACAGGGGAGGTCTGGAGGTATTATTTGTATATGGAACCCAATTGTTTTCAATATGATTAAAAGATTTGAAGGCAATAATTTTTGTGGTATGATGGGATTCTGGGGGAAGGATAGCATTCCCTGTTTTTTCATTAATGTTTACTCTCCTTGCGACAAACATGGTAAACGTATGCTATGGGAGGAGCTTTTAGGCCTTATCAAAGAATACAGTGGCGGATGCTGGTGCATTGGGGGGGATTTCAATGCTATTAGAGGGATGGAGGAAAAAAGAGGCAGATCTTATGATGCTGCTGAGGCCAGGGAGTTTAATAAATTTATCATAGAAGCAGGAGTAGAAGATATCCCCTTAACAGGCAGAAAATTCACATGGTATAAGGCTGATGGCACTGCAATGAGTAGATTAGATAGATTCTTATTATCTACTGAATTCTTGATTAATTTTCCAAATGTTATTCAAAAAGGGCTTAGGAGAGAATTCTCAGATCATTGCCCAGTATTGTTGAGACAAGCATGCACTGATTGGGGGCCAAAGCCGTTTAGATGCCTGGACAGTTGGTTAAACCATGACGAATTTGAGAAATATGTTAAAGAGAAGTGGCAGAGTTACAACCCTCAAGGCTGGAGTAGCTTCAAACTTAAGGAAAAATTAAAGAACCTGAAAAAGGACTTGAAGATATGGAATAACAGTGTGTATGGCAACATCGACAAGAATATTGAGACTGCTAAGGAGGGAATCAGAAGGCTAGATGAGAAAGGGGAGGTTGCTGGACTCACAGACGCAGAGGTGGCACAAAGGAAGGACTGTTTTTATCGCTTGTGGGAATGGAACAAGGCTAGAGATAGCTTGCTGCATCAGAAATCAAGGCAAAAATGGCTCAAAGAAGGCGATGCGAATAGTAAATTCTTCCATGGGTGTGTGATTAAAAGAAGGAAGCAAAATGGAATTGATGGTATGCAAATAAATGGTGAATGGACAGAAGAAGTAGTAGTGATAAAGAACTTCATCAAAGAGTTCTATAGGAGCAAGTTCCAAGAAGAACAATGGCATAGACCGAGATTTGAGCTGAACAACTTTAAGAGGCTTAGCATTGAAGAAAATGATATGTTAGTTGCGGATTTCTCTGAAGAGGAAATTAGAGAAGCTGTCTGGAGTTGCAATGGAAACAAGAGTCCAGGTCCTGATGGTTTGAATTTTAACCTCATCAAAAGAATGTGGCCGATCCTAAAGGAGGATATATGCGAGTTTATGTGCGAATTTCATTCGAATGGAAGGTTAGTGAAGGGTAGCAATGCTTCTTTCATTGTTTTGATCCCCAAGAAGGAGAACCCCTCAAGCTTATTAGAATACCGCCCGATCTCCCTTATTGGTTGTATGTATAAAATTGTGGCTAAGCTATTGGCTAACAGAATGAGGAAGGTGATGAATTCCATTATTAGCCAAAACCAATCAGCTTTCATTGGTGGGAGGCATATTGCGGATGGTATCATCATAACAAATGAGCTGATTCATGATGCAAAAAGAAGAAAGTGGCCTACTTTAATCTTCAAAGCAGATTTTGAGAAGGCGTATGACAGTGTTAACTGGTGCTTTCTTGACTGCATGCTGCAGAAGTTGGGGTTTTGTGAAAAATGGCGTTTATGGATCCAGGAATGTCTAGCCTCTGCAACTACTTCAGTGCTGGTGAACGGGAGTCCTACTGAAGAGTTCAAAATGTCGAAAGGTCTGCGGCAAGGCGACCCACTTGCTCCCTTCTTATTCTTGGTAGTAGCTGAAGCTCTTAATGGTTTAATTATAAAAGCTGTGGAGGAAGGGATGCTAACAGGAGTTCGGGTTGGTTCAGGGGACCTTGACATAACACATCTACAATTCGCAGACGATACAATTATTTTCTGTGAGGCATCTCCACAGAATGTTTGGGTGATAAAAGGCATTTTTAGAAGCTTCGAACTCATTTCTGGCCTAAAGGTGAACTTCTTTAAAAGCTCATTATCTGGTATTAATGTGGAAGATGATAAACTGTCTGAGATGGCTGATTCGATTAACTGTGTGGTGGGCGACATCCCTTTCAAGTACCTCGGAGTTCCTGTCGGTGCTAACCCCAGGAAGATATCTACTTGGGCTTCAGTCATTGAATGTTTAAGAAGGAAATTGTCTTCCTGGCGATGTGACTCTCTATCTTTTGGTGGTCGTATCATTCTCCTAAAAGCTGTCCTTTCGAGCATCCCGGTTTATTACTTCTCGACACTAAAAGCACCCAAAAAGGTTATTAATCTATTATCATTAATTCAAAGGAGATTCTTGTGGGGTGGTAGTGAGGAAAATAAAAGGATCTCTTGGGTTGGGTGGGACAGTGTTTGCAAAAGCAAGGAGGAAGGGGGGTTAGGTGTTAAGAATTTGGGTATCTTCAATGTAGCTTTACTAGGAAAGTGGAGATGGAGATTGCTGGAGGAAGAAAATGCCCTTTGGAGGAGAGTAATAGAGGCCAAATATAAGGTGAATAGAATTAATGAATGGAGGGGTGGCGAATGGGATGTGCATGGTTCTAGTTGGTGGAAGGAGCTGTGGCGACTAGATACAATGGGGAGTGACAGTGAAGGATGGCTTAGTGAGAACATTGAGAAAGTGGTTAGGGAGGGATCGAAGACCTTGTTTTGGCTTGACAAGTGGGCAGGACCTATTCCTTTAAAGAGTAGATTTAATAGATTGTTTAGGATATCAGGGGACAAAGATGCATTAATCTCTACCATGGGGGAATGGGAGGATGGAGAATGGAAATGGAGATGGAGATGGAGGAGGAATCTTTTGGCTTGGGAACTTGAGCTTTTGCAGGAACTCACAGACACATTACAAGGGAATCAACTAATCCAGGGACAAGAGGACTATTGGATTTGGCAGCAAGATTACAAGGGTAAATACACGGTGAAATCAGCTTACAATCTGCTTCAAACCAACTCAAACCCAGGTAGAATTGATAATTACAAGTTGATTTGGAATAAAAATGTGCCCTTAAAAGTCTCTGCGTTTGCCTGGAAAGCCACTCAAAACAAAATCCCAACAAAGGATAATTTGTGGAAAAGGGGAATAAGAAGCATGGAGAGGGACTTGACATGCACTTTATGTGGACAATATCCTGAAGAAACAGATCACCTTCTATTCACTTGCAGAACAGCATGGCTTCTTTGGTCCTCCTGCTACAATTGGTGGGGGATAGCTGTCCCTCAACATCATAAAGGCTGGAACCATTTGCAACAACACGCAGATCTTTTCTTTGAAGAAAAATCAAAACAAGCATGGCTGGTAACCTGGTTTGCAGTTATTTGGTCAATATGGACATGGAGAAACCAAAAGGTATTTAACGAAAACACCGACTCAGTTAGCAATATGTTTGAGCTAATCAAGATACGTTCATTGTTATGGTTGAAAGCTAGTCTTTGGCCAAATATATCAAAAGATCTATGGCTTTCAAACCCAATTCAGGCATGCAGGAGGGTGATGACTGCTAAGGCTTAGATTATAGCTACCATTTCTGAAGTTTTTGATGATTCATCTCTAAGTCTTGATTTATTTTGATGTAATGTAAGTATTTATGTACAATATGGGTAGGAGTACCCCTTGTACTCCATTAAATTTTAATCCGCACTTTGGCCGATCAAAAAAAAAAAAAAAA